AAGGGGGGGGGGGGAGAAAGAGATAGACTCACACTCACGCGAGTTTGACGATGATGAGGGGAGATAGAGGGAGGTTGGTACTCGAAGAGGAGGAATTCGCGCTGCTCTCGGTGGAGTCGACATTGTCGGGTGGCGGCCAATTTTCAGGGAAATTCCATTAATACTCGTGGCTTTGTCCCATTTCGAATTAATGATTCGTCTTTCCGCACTTTGGTACAGTCGGATGAACCATTTTGTGCGAAGTGTTTCTCTTTTATTGTCTTTTATTCTAAATTTGTGTGGTCTTCTCGATGAAGATCCTTCTTCAATAATATTCGCAACTTTCCTACTTCTCCGCGTTAAATGACAGAGATTAAGACATTTTGTTAAAATATATTGTTTGAAACGAAGGATTACATTTCGGCTGTCAGATTCATGATGCCTCAGTTGAAGTTAGCAAAAGCCTTCAGTGTTCAGTCAAGAACCAAATGAACGATTCGAAGATATATTGAGACAGACATTCGTTTATTTGATTGTTATGTTAATTTTAATGTTCTCTTATTCAGTTACTATTTTTATCGTGATCTTCAATATTTCTCGTTGAGAGAAAATTGATATTTCGTGGAAAAAAGTGCCGTATCTGGCCGTAAAAATTGATCGATAGTACATTGGAACACGAGGAAAAATTGCAATGACAACGAAATAAATTTTGCGGGACGCGCGAGATATGTTTCGCGATGATATGTGACCATGTGCTCGCATGATGGACGTCTCGCTGTGTCGAAAATTACGAACGTCTCTTAGGAGGATTTTAACTTCACGATAGATACGCGTCGACGTGCGCGTATATGTGTGGCGCACACAACTGCCAAACTATTTGCATGCGTCGTGATCTAATACCGTTTTATAGGTTTGAAAAATGTCGTCCGCCCACGTGGATATTATACTTTCTGTATTTGTACACATTGATCGCTCGCCAGGATTGCACCTGTGCATATGCGAGCGCAGGAAATTGACATTTCAATGTGATCTTCTCTTCAATGTGGACTTAGGTTCAAGGAAAATCAAACGTTTTTAAACTGAACTAAACGCAAGTGAAGCGCTTTCAAATTCAACGTCATCATTAATTACTCTAAACGTCTCGTTAGTACACTTTTGCACGCATTTCACGTAACTCAAGGTTCAGCTGTCAAATACTTAACATCGAACATTAGAGAGCAAAAGATAGCCTGCCTTTTTCGTTAAAGATAGATCAATCGCAAAATGAAGTATGCGTCTTTTAAATTTCAGTGCAACATCCTGTCGGAGTCTTTGAAAGGCCAGGTTGAATATGATTGCGGCTCGTGAGTACGAGTGGAAAGCCTGGTCGTGGACACATCGACTCGAAGAACTTACTTCCACAAAGTAAACGGATTAACGGGAACGTCTGCGGAAACTTCGCAGTTTGATTAACCCAATTCCATAGCTCTGGGTGCGAGCCCACGCGGCCGACCTTTACCTCATCTCTCCGTGGACGGATCGGGGCGAGGGATCCAACTTGCAGAGTCCACCTGCCATCGGACACCAGCGCGACTGACCAAGCTGACTGTCCGGCCGCACGCCTACACGAATTGCTACCGCATTATTTCGAGTGCTTTGGCCTTGGGTAGTGGCCAGAGAAAACTTATGCGAGATATCATGGAACGTGCCGAACTACTTCTTCTTCTTTCACAGGAGTGCGATAAGTACAGGGGAGAACTTCGGCCGAGATAGTTACCTCTACTAACAGCGCGAAGGTGCCACGTGGTAAAAACGTGCACGGTGAAACTATGGCGAACGGAATAACGTCGAATCGCCGTACTTTCTTGTTTCCTCCTCGAGTGCAAAATCAAAGGAGATATCTCGGCTCGAAAGGTGAACGCAATTCGTGATGATAGCGCGTGAAAGCGCGAGATCTTTCTCTTCAGGTTCTTACGGCGGACTTGAACTCAGACTTGAATTTCGATGCGCGAATTTACGGGCGACATTCATCTGCCATGTCGTTTCATCGTGCGTATATCGCGGCGCATCGTCCGCGAGGAAAGTGTCGCTTTCGCTGGACCGGCGATGAGGATGCGCGTAGAATTTGAGCGTGACGCGCGTGGCGTATGTGATTATTCGAGACGGACAAGCCGTGACGAAAGGGAAGAGGCCGACGAAAGGAAGGAGAGAGGAGAAGCATCGGAGGGAGAAGAAGGAAGAAATGATATATGACGGATGGACGTGAGCGGCGATCGATGGCTCGCGATCTCGCAAGGTGGAGCATAATTGGATTTTTCGAGAGAGAAGAGAACGTCTCTTTGGCAAGCGAGCGCAGAGAGCACTTCCTGCTAGGCTATGAAAATGAGCTTCAGGTCTGGCCGACTTAGAATCGCCGAGCTCGCGCGCGAGTCATAATAATAACAACTCCCGCGAAGATTTCGCTCACGAGCTGAATCTTAAATTTAAACAGAATGGCGACAGGTATTGCGGCGAAGCGTAAAACGCTTGTCGTTTTTGCAACACGCACCACCGTGCTGTCCCTAGGTTCTGTTTGCCTAATTTTACAGGACCTCCGTCGGGAATGACGTCTCACAAGTCGCGCAGGATGGCCTCCGGAACCGTCGATCGTTTATTTTAACGACTTGTTCGAGGCCCTTTTCTTAAAGACCCTGCTGCGGTTTAAAGTTGACAAGAGATGAGTTGCAGAAAGGCTAGAACACTTCTCGTATCTTTTCTATTATTATAGTCAAAATGTTGTTTACATCTTTGTGACTAGTTTCAAGTTTCATATATAAGCCTGGATATCTTTTACATTACTCTCTGAAGATATCCACAGAATACGCATATAAGAATTGCATTTTAAAAAATCTTCTGGAACCTCCGATGCAGCATCCACGCTAAAATTGCAGTGGAAATAACCACATTGCTCCTATAGAAAGATTGATCGATTATGTTACAAGATAAAATGTCACAAAATTACAGGATTACACACAAATAACAATAAAATAAGAGACTAGATTAAATTAGTAAAAAAATTGCGAGTATTATTTTCGGCGGATTATCTCGTGATGTCGACATATCACGAATTTCTCGAAAAACAGAAACAACATTCAATTATCTCCTATCACAAGAGATGTTAAATGATTTGAATTCTTTAAACGACACTTCCGCGGCGTTTTAAAAAGATTCTACGTCAAAGGTGCTCCTTGCTTCGTCAAAGGTAGAACCGTGTCGACGGATCTGAGGGAAAAAAGTTGCGCGAGCGTTTTCACACGAGGAAAGTCTAAAACCGGATGGATTCTAAAAACGGAGACCGAGAAAAATCGCGTAAGTCACCGATACACGAGAATCGCGAACCCTGGTTACACGGCACTCGCGCGTACGTGTGTGCAATGTGCGACACACGCGGATAGACGACCTAATTATAGCATTTTCATCATATTCGAGACGAGCGCGGATTGATATATCGATGTATGAATCAAGACAGCCGGAGAAAGATGGCTAGAATCGACAAGAGACGGAAAGAGAACGGACGTCCCCGAGTCTTTCACCCGAATGTTAGGTAATGTGACGGCCGGCCGTCGTCATAATGCCTTCGCAACAATTGGCAACGTGATTCGTGGCTTCTGCATCTACGGCAATGTCGACGCTAATTAGAGACTTCGTGAACACAGCTTCGGCCCGTCCAGTGCCATTAATTTGTTTGACGTAATGTGCTCGCCGGCGACCGCTAATACAGATTGGATCGGCCGCAACACATCGACCACCGATTAAAACCTGGACTACGACACCACGAGGTGCTTCGAAATAGGTGCTAACCGCATACACGTGGCCGGTCTGTCGCGCGCCGTTGCACCTGCAAATTCTTCGATCGATCTCGCCCCAATATCCGATTGCAGGTCAATTTTTTATTCTCGAGATTGGATGTCTCGATGGTTGTATAAGATTTTACATCAGAAGAGAGTGCACATTAAGAAAAAAAAATTTTATTTGAAGAATATAAAAAGCTTATTTTTGTGAAATAAGCTGTTTCATCCCACACAAATATATGTTTACATATTTTTTTCTCAGTGTACCGTGAAAAATTATATCTTGGCACTTCTCAGTTTTCCTAAATTGCTGAATCGGAGAGTTCAGATAATTAAAATACTTACGATTATTAATTTTATTTCGATATTTAAATACTTTGACTCACTATGGGGAAATTATTAAAGTAAATTTTTAATGGGATGAATATGCAGATTCTATGTATCCGCATGAAAACAAAGGAACACCTTCTAAAGTTCTTATTAAGGAAACATCGAGTTAAGTGGATCGAGGAATTTGCAGATGAAAGGAGCAGCGATAGTTTCCGCGATAGTTCCTCTTCCTACAACAATGATGCAATTGATGAAAACGAACCGTGAGACAATGTAAGAGGCAACGATTGAATCTCTCTTCCGAACTTGAGCGCCGCAGTTTACAAATAACGGAACAGAAATAAAACAGCGAGTTATTTCGGACAAGTCTAAACAAACTAGCGTTTCATTCACGCGTTTAATTTCTACAAACGACCTGCATCTGTGCCAGATTATCATGCAATTGTCATCGATTGTTTCGCAGCACGCTTGGATTTATACTTTTTCTTTTATACGTACCAAAAAAAAAGTCGTATTGAGGGCGAGTGACATATCGCATTGTAAGGGACTATGTACAGTTCCTCCAGATCCTCCTTTGAAAAGTACAATATCTTCTGAGCGCTGCAAGAAACGAAGGTAATCGCTTTAGACCATTGCGTCGCGTACAGACGAAGACGCATCCAACAATCTTGATCGTTCCGCTCGATGAGATAAATGTAATAACGTATTAAGCCAATTTCGCGTGACAAAAGTTGCACACGTGTGGCACTGGCGAATGTAATAATAGATTGTTAATAATAATGTACACACGCCGGCGTGTAGACTGCGGCGATCTTTTAATAAGCGTCGTAAATATATCCGCAAAAGTTCGTTGGTAAAAGCGACATAGAGATGGGAATGGTGCCAATGACGGAGAAAATCTTACGCGTACAATATGACGGCACGAGTTGTGTGATTATCTGATGTGCGAATATGATCGGAAAATCTTCGTCATGAAAATGTATCAGTACATCTCGTAAGTGGATTTATCTTTTTAGAAATACACGAGGATCATTCTTATAAGATACTTTCTTGATCTGAACGAAAATGTTCTGAACGAGGAATTGCTAAACGTTAATGACGTCAATAATAAGCCTTTAGTTACACAAATCCTTACACGGAAGTGAATCATTCCGTCCTTATATTCGAGTGAAGGAATGGGAAAAATGTTAATAATTTTTCAGAGATGATAGTGGAGTAAGGATACGGTATGTCGAATATACGCGTCAGGATATGTGGATACAAAATCTTATCTTGCTTCATCAATGATGTCTGAAATACAAGATGCATTACGTGAGACAACCATAACGTTTGAATTGCCGCGGTACTCGAGGCACTTAACGCATTCGTTGTCTCAACACGACCAGTGCACGCTCTCTGAAAAACAAGCGAGTTGTAATGGACTCACTGAATTGCGATATTCGACGGACGATAGTTTGTGTTTTCAGACCATCTGAACTAGACAAACGCAGTCGATCGATCGCGCACAGCAGACCAGAGAAATAAACTACGAACGAATGTATATTGCGCGGTTCACTGGGACTTGTACGCGCGATGTGTCGTGACGATTTGGCTAACGCGTGTAAAACAATTGTAAACTGTATACATAAAAACGCACGTATTAATATCACAATTTGTGTGATACACGCTTGGAAAGTGTCCAAAATAATTCCGCCACCTTACACCGAAGTAGCTTCACATATTATTATAAATTACTAACCACATACTCGATACCTAATTGCATTTGCTTTGTATAGTAGATACCGCATGGACGAAAAGTATAAAATCGTTCAGCTTTGTTACACGACACTTGCGTGAGTGCAATATTTGATGTCGCACTGTATCGATGCACAAAATATGATTATGGTATTTCACAGACGTCTCCAAAGCGCGGACGCAGTTGGCAGCAATTGCTTTCTCACACGGAAAAAAAGGTTTGGTTAAATTAATCAAATATCTGGTCGAATATGGACGATCCAGAAATTCCGATTAAAGTAACTCGGATTTTATTTAAGTTAACACGATTTTTGGTTGACTTAAACAGAATTCGGGTTACTTCAATCGGAATTTTTGGATCGTTCATATTCGATCAGATATTTGGTTAATTCAACCAAACCTTTTTTTCCGTGTAATATGTAATATTGCACCCTAGTTATCGTACGCATGAAGTATATGCAATTGTGAGTAACGTTTAACAATTTCTCGTTAGTTCAAGACATTATGATGTGATACAGTTAACAGCAAAATTACATGTCACGATTCTTTTGATGTAATAAGAAACCGTTCTCTTTTATCGCGTCACCGCTAGATACTTCATGATTGCTGTCCATCCTATCAGTTCAAGTTAAAAAAAAAAAGAGAAGAAAAATGCTTGGAAAAGTTTACGATTCATTAATATCAAGTTTGTCAATGTCGCTCATGCTAATAACGAAGTTATTAGCATAAACTTTGTCGCAGTGATTCGTTAAATATTGATTGCTCTAAAGACTAAAAAATGAGCATTTTCCCTCTGAGTATACTCGTTATCAGAGCACACCCACGTATAATGCAGATAGTAACATTAAATCGCTTAATTTCCATCTTTAAATTTACATTGTATGCACACGCTAAACATACTGCACATATGGAAATAAAATAGATAAAAATATCAACGGGAAAAGGATTCGATGAAACAGTATAGATTACTGACCTTTCTTGACTTCTTACTGCGACTAACATGCATTTCGATGTGATTTTCCTTGCATCAACAGAGCCGAATTTCGACAATCGTTTACATATCTTAGAAAAAACGTTACAAGATTATAAACTGATTAAAAATTATTCACTTTATACATCTATCGCGTTTATATATTTAAAGTGCTTAACATTCCGATATTATCGTATATTAAGAGATATTAACTTATGATCAAATGTACCTCCGTTTCGGTTATTGGCTTCGATGTTAATGATTTCACATAAAGCCAATTCGCTCGAGTTGGCACAGGGTCGGGTCCGTCAAGTTTCTGGAAAATTCATGTTATTTTCATAAAAAAAATAACGTACATTCGATTATATAATGTTTAATTTAATTTTAAGATGTTTTTTGCATTCTCCTTACCAAATATGATATATTGCTACGACTAATATTTATGCAGTTCTCGAAACGTTTAATATAGCTTATTAATACTATAATATCATATGGATCTATGTCTCTGTATGCATGTATTGTTTGATTAGAACTATAAAATAAAATTTTGTCTTGCATTACCATCATTATATATAATATGTTAATTAAAATTAAAAATAGATAAATCTTTTGATAGTGAATGCAATGTAGAACTTACGAACTAATCGAACGATATGTAAATGCCATTTTTATAAATATGTAACCAGTAAAATAAGCATCCCAGCCTGCAGTATGACATTTCATAGATTTGGTAATAGCTAAAAATGCAAAGTTCTTCAATATTCGTAACAACAATAATGTGACAGAGTCAACAATATGGATAAGAAAGAAATATATACCTTCTGATTGATCTGGTATTGTTTTATGCACAATCCCAATATAAGGTGAGTAATTGTGTACATTATTGTTTTTGTTACTTAATGATACAAAATGAGTATATATGCATCCTAATGAATTTTGTTTCCATTTTTCTGAGGAAACAAAGAAGCATTTAATATATTATTTAATATATATTTTAATATATTATAAATCATACAAACACATATGAATATTACCTTTTGGCTCAAGAACTTCCCATAAATTGAAACTTATAAATTTTGTATCATAGATTATTGGAAATAATTTATGTATATTATTCTTGAAATCAATATATTTTCCTGGAAAATATATTATTTGTTACAGTTTAATACTTGTTCGTTATGAATGTTGAGAAAGTAAGTTGTTTTTTCATCTCAATATAATTATACATACGTGGTAAAGGCTTATAAAACTGTTGATGTATAAACATTAAATCTAGTAAGGCATTATGTCCCACCATAGGCTTCTTCAGAGTAACCAAGAGTTTAAACACTTTCGAAAAGCTTATATATGATTCTATTAATGTATTCTCCAACATGGGGCCTTCTTCTTTTTCCCAACTTTCTTTTATATCTGGTTGAACCTTTATTACAGTTATCTGAAAAGTTATAAAATTTAAAACATAAAACTAAATTTTCTTGACACAGAAAAGAGAATAGCTAATATATACTGATTTATCTCCTGAGCAAGTCCAAACACATGGAAAAAGTTTCCTCAATTTTTTATGCATGAGATACTGGAAACTTGGAGTAGAAGTATTGATCTTAAACGAACTGGTTTCATCAGTAGTAGTGCTTAACCATTTTGATATCTGATTGATGTAATATTTGAGTTCATCTTTTTCTTTAAAGGATATGTGCTGTTCTATGTTATAAAGCAACGTGTCATCTTGTACTTGCTGCCGTAAAATTTCTTCGTCCTCCTCATCAATGTATGAAATACCATTATGAACAAACTGCAATTTCATGACACATATAATCAGTTTGTTTCTGATGACATGATAAAGTATCACATTTACTTTGAAATATTTATATTACTTGATAAATATTTGTATCACTTGGTTATTACAAATATGAATAATTTTACTTTTAAAACGTAAACTAATCTAGAATGAATATGATATACTTTATTGAAATCAAATTCATATTCAGACAGGAATTCCAATGTAGATACATTCCAAAGAAATCGTCTATTTTTCGATGGAATAGATTTAGGCAACAAAAAGAAGTTGAAGACTACTGCATCATAGCTAAATTTATATTCAAACGCAGTAATACCACACTGCACTATTATATATGGTTGAATAGTATTCCTGATGCTATCATAGCGCTCCTCAATGGAATCAAACAAACTGCAAACATGCGCAAACAAATTCTAAAATAACATTGATATACTTTGAAATATTTGGGAAAATACAAAAGGGCCACAACTAACCTATTTCTTATATTGTCAGTTTCTATACCTGAAAATTCTAAATCAAATGATATGAAAGTCGCATTCTTCAATACATCCTCCAATATTGGATATATCTCTTTAAAATTTTGTTTTGTAACTTCAATCATGATAAAAGTATATTCTTTTACACATATGAGATTGACTAACCAATATTATATTTTCATATTTGACCAGAAAGTTCAAATCCGTTTTTATAAAAATTGAAGATTAGAGACCTTTGAGTAAAGACTGGGCAGTGTTGCCAGGTGGTTGAAAAATTATGCGGTAGATGGCATACCAAAAAGCGGTAGATTTGAAATTTAAAGCGGTAGATCATTTCAGGTTGCATTCCAAAACATCTTTTTCGAGGAAAATTTTACTCTTAAATCTATAGTTCATGTTACATACACTATAGACTATAATTACTTACAAGTAATTCTTACTTATAAATTTCTTAAAGCTTAAAGCTTTAAAAAATTGACCAATCATAGTCGAATTATAGAAGAATAATCAATTGTAATTGGTTAATTTCTTACGGCTTACAGTTTACTACACTTATTGTAGATCGGGACTAAAAGAGCTGCGGAATAGAGAGTGCGTCATAGAAGTAACCAATCAGCGTTATGCCGCTCTTTGCTGATTGGTTGCCGTTTTGCACTGATTGGTTGTTTCTATGACACACTCTCTATTTCACAGCTCTTTTAAGGGCCGTCTACATTGGAAGTAAGTAGTAAGAAGTAGGAAGTAAGAAATTGACCAACCACAATCGAATATGAGAAGAATAATCAACTATAATTAGTCAATTTCTTATTCTTACTTCCTGCTTCTTACTGCTTACTTCCAATGTAGACGTCCCTTTACTCTGTATATAATTTCACTCTAAAAATAGCTCACTGAACGCTCTTGCATCTGGTTGGAGTATATTTTGAGATTTGAAAGAACATGCCAATCAGATATAGAAGTTCACTGAGCGTTCAGTGAGCGATGTAAGGCCAATATTACATGTGTACGACAAGCTTGACGGCCGTTCTAATTGGCTGCCGGATAGTGAATTTCTGGGGTACTTGGAAAAAAAGTTAAGGGAAATTCTATCTATCAACCAATCGATATGTCCGACAATGCTCGTCATACGACGCATGTAATATTAGCCTACTTCTTGGATGTATCAATTGCATGCACTGCGTATATTCATTGGCCTGATTTACATCGTCAAAACGTTAGTAGGCGTATTAAATTTGTTGCGCACCAATGCTTTAATACGAGTGCGTTTACATTGAACGTATTGAAGGAAAAATATAATACGAATTTAATTCATATCGTTTACCTCCTAGTGATAGTATTTGGAATTGCAATTTGCTTGAGATAGTTTCGACCGGACAGGAGGAATGCATAATTCTAAAAAGTGCTCATTTCTTCTTTTGTCCAATTTAACTCTTTTTTACAAAACGTTTTACGATAACATAATTTAAGTTTTAATTAGGTTAGGTTCCCTCCAACATTCGTTTTATACATTTACATCGACATTTGTATCATTTGATACGCGTATTAGTTTATCCAGCGAGAACGTAGACGTCGATTCGACGTCTAACCGACGTCGGAGAAGTCTAAGTTACGTCTAGTCTAAATGCACGTCTAGAAAAATGACAATTTAGACGTCTTCTATTTTGAGTAAATTCTAATGTTTTAGAATCCATTCATAATATATTGACCATTAAAAGAGAGTTTTCGATAAAATTTCGGAATTTTATTTTGTCGATTATTTACAATCTCTCTAGACGTCTATTCGATATTGAATCGACGTCTAATATCCCAGTGAGAAATGACTTATCGATCGACGTCAAAAAGACGTAGAATCGACGTCTATTTGACGATTTCGACGTCGATTCAACGTCTTTTTGACGTCGATAAATAAGTAATTTCTCACTGAGATCGCGCGTTTTGCATAAAAAATTTATTCTAAGTGGAAACGTCAGTTTTTTTTTTTAGATTTCCGATTCAATTATAGTATTACAAAAATAGGAATGCCAGATTACTCGAAAAACATTAAACTGGAAGGGATGATCAAAGTCATTTTGCAAATAACTACATAAACTTTAGAGATATTAAATAAAATAGACAGCGAATCAACGCGTGTATTTGCTAGGTACGTTATAATATACTGTGAACACTGTAAGTATACATTTTATAAATTGTAAGAACATCGTTGGAGTCATTGGTACACCGCGTACCGCTCGATCGTCAGGTTAAGCAACGCAGTCAGGATGGGGTGCGTTCAGATTCCCTACCCGGGTGCACTCTATTACTAGAAACACTATAGTATATGTTACATATACTATAGCACTTCTGGTATTAGAGTGCACCCGGGTAGGGAATCTGAACGTACCCATGGATGGGTGACAACTTCAAATTCGAAATTATCGAGGCAGGATTTGCGAAAGTTTTAACGTGTGTTTAACATTAATCTTCGGTTTCTAGCAGTTTATAAGACATAAAGAAAATTAGGAATTAGTTATTTTTATAAAACAATCTAGTAAGAAATGACTTATTGATCGAAAAGACGTCGAAATGACGGTCTATTAGACATCGATAAAAGGTACCTTTACATGGGAGCATCGAGAGTCGAGCGTTAAAGCGATAGCCAATCAACGTGCCATTTTCCGCAAGAACTACAAGTATACTTCTGGGACTTGATACGTTGATTGGCTAACGCTTTAACGCTCGAACGCTGGAACGCTCCTATGTATTGGCGCCTTAAGACGTCGAAATGACGGTCTATTAGACATCTAAATGTGGACCGTTTTTAGGTCGATATAGATCTTAATCTAGATTAGACGTAGATGGTAGATAAACGTTTCATATAGACGTCTAGTAGACGTCGAATCGACGTAACCTTTCTCGCTGGGTAGCACGATACTCCTACTTGGTACGTTCACACCAAATTGATCCGTCAGTGTTTACATCGTATTAAATATTTAGTACAAATTTGTACGAATATAGTACTTGATATGCATATCAAGTACACGATGTAAATCAGGCCATTGTATCAGCGCGCCGCATTAATTATCGGCGGTGGCGGCGGCGTATTTTAAAAATTTCAAAAAAAATTGGCGGCGGCGGAATTGTCGAGATCAAATTTTATGGCGGTGGCGGCGTGGCGTGGCAGCGCCTAGGTCTATTGATGCGTATCCCCACTTAGCATGACGTCATTTATTTAGTTTGGCCACAACCGGGGCCGAGCGTAGATGGCGCTAGGTATAAGTGATGCCACTTACAAGATAGGAGTTATTATCCTTTATATTTGACTCACACAGTGTATGAGTCGCTATCATGCCTTTTAATATACATCTGTTCCTTATAACTGCACCAACTTACACTATCTGCACTTAAAATGAAGTATATATATGGTGAAGTATTGATGAAGTATTTCACATGGTGAAAGAGAGAAAGAAATAGAAAAATTGCAAATAGTATTTTGATAATATACAAATGTATATGTAGAAAAAAAATATATATACATGTGTGTATATCTACAGAATATTTGTAATTGAAATAATTTATGCAATTTTGAAAACACTTGTAATGGTCTGTGTGAAAAAAATATTATTGTAAATAAAATTTTATCTATTTTATGCAAGTTACACAATTTACAGCGAAAAAATAATAAAAAAATTATTTTTTTAATAAAGAATTCTAGATCATCTTCAAATTTTTAAGAGTGGGATCATATAATTTTCTTTTAATAATATCACAGAAAGAGACATTAAAACGAATTTAGCCGACATATGACATCATGATAAAGTGAATTTGGCAATGTGCAGAGGAAATACGTCACGCGAATTGATGAGCTAAAGCGCTGCAACACTTTAATGAGAAAGTATATCGTTAAGTGCGTGAAAAATCATTGAGGTTACAAGGCCACCATCACCACGAAGATTAACAGATACCAAGTTCGCTACGAGAAACACCCTGTACAGTCCTAGCCGTGTGAGTTGGAACCGCGCACACGGCGCCGTTTCCGCACTTGCAAGATCTTTCTTTTAATCGGGAATCGACTCTCTCTCTGGCAATGAACTTGCTTGAGCGGTGTTAGTGTGTTCGCAGCTACGACACCGGCCAGTCTCTCGAAGCCTCGCTTTTCCTCGCTCTCGCGGCTCGTGATCACGCTTCGACATCTCGACTCTATACCCAGGGATCTGTCAATCAGCGGACGCGGAGATGCTCTTCAGGTTTGGGATCTTTGTTGGCCTAGGTTCTGTGGTTGCGACTATCATCTACCTTACGCCGGTGCCAGGTAAGCGACGCGCGATTGTGTTACGGTAATCGAAATAACGTAAAGTGTTATTAACTGATAATGGAAGCAACAGTATTTGTATATTAAGAAAAGAACGCGAAACGCGAGGTAATCTCCGCGGTTCGTGGAAATGGCATTTGGTTTTTTACGGCGATCGATCCTGTTGTAGCAGATGCAAACAACTTAGCTGGGTATAACTGTCTATATTGCTTTTGCTTATTTTACTTTTTTACTTGCAACTTCTCGCTCGCGAGCACAAACACTTCAGCTTCCAGTACGAATGAACTATATTTCTTTGTGTATATATATATATTTCTCGATATATTCGCTTGATAAATTAGTAAACAAAGTTATTTCTGGAATAGAAAATATTTGTTTTAGTGCGATACACCTTGTTGTGTTTTAATGCGATATACCTCGTTGTGTAACGTTTTTCATTATTGTACTGGATCAAATAATCGGATGGTTTAGTTGAATGTGCACTGTAGTCGTTTTCTTCAGGAACATTCTTTTTGACTGTTCTTCACTTTCATCAATATGTATTTGTGAGTTGTTTTTAGATATTTAATTAGTATAGTTAGTATAAAAATCGCTCGCTGAAATTAGTTTTTCGTTTAGGAGATAAGAGAGTTAATTATATAAAAAACTTATAAAAATTATCTCTTTATCTTACACCGCGCATAACGACCAGATAATCGGTACAAGTTGAGATGGAAAGCTAGAAAGACTAAATATAATAAGTGAACAGCTGATATTCTATGCTGCATCATCGGCTATTATTAAGATCATCGTTCGGTGAATTTATAACAGACGACATGATTACATCGAGTGGTTTCCTGTATAATCTATAGCACAGTGTGGTTTTATACGGTTACTTTAAAAGTTTTGATTTAATTAAGATTGAAGGAAAGAGAATTAAAGTATTTTTGTAAAATACCTGTTAAATAACTTTGTTCTCAATGTTCTTCATCGTTTGAATTACGATTTTTTTTTCAAACACTCGTGTACACTCTATT